ATATACACACACACAGAGGGGGAGAGAGAGAAAGAGAGAAAGAGAGAAAGAGAGAGAGAGAGGGAGAGAGAGAGAGTGAGAGAGAGAGAGAGGGACAGAGAGACAGAGAGAGAGAGAGAGAGAGAGAGAGAGAGAGAGAGAGAGAGAGAGAGAGAGAGAGAGAGAGAGAGAGAGATTACAATTCATAGTAACTCACAGCCCCTTAGATAAGTATCTTCTCACCTTCCAGAACTTGATCTTCTCGGGCTGCCTCTTGTTTTTACTTTTGTTGAGCTTCATTTTGCGAAGACGCAGCCACTCCCGTGTTTCCATGGGCATCTTGAACACGTGACGGTCGACAGGTGTCTCATTGCTTGATACTGCTCCTCCGGAATCATTTGTGGCTTGTCCGAATGACTGACTAGGTTCCAGGTCGTTTTTTGTAGCGGTCAGGCAATTGTCAGTTTGTCCAAATGTTGATGCAGGTACACGGCTGTGGGGGACATCAGCATCAGAGTTATTTGAAGACGCTGGAGCACGGTTTGCTGTTGGCGCTGCCATAACAAGACTTTGTTTTCTCCTCGAAGATCTACTAGGGACCAAGTATGGCGCAAAGGTGAGATGTGCAGGACTTGACTCCGATGAAGAGGGCTGATCCGTATTCGTTCTTTGAGCTGAGAAAAAAAGAATATGACATAAAAAAACTGATTACTTTCCTCTTTTGAATTAGGACTAGCTCACGTTTTTGAGTCAACTCTATGTATGTTGTGGTCACAAAAACTGTCAGACTATGTGAAAATAACTGTGGATGTGAGAAGAATTCTTTCATAATTCCGATAAATTAATAAAAAATAATATTGATACATGTAGGTCGATTTATAAATCAATAGACAGCGAGACAAACAGACAAACAGACAGACAGACAGACAGACAGACAGACAGACAGACAGACCGACAGACCGACAGACAGACAGACAGACAGATAGATAGATAGATAGATAGATAGATAGATAGATAGATAGATAGATAGATAGATATCAAATTCAACCACACATGTTTAAGATATATTATAGTTGACCGATCGGATGGCGTAAAAAAGCAGGCGAAGTCAGAGTGTTGGCTGGTGCTCGTGTGTGGTTTGATCCTTCTTCCCTACCAAACATATATCGTTCTTATGTTTTCTCCTTTTTTTTTCGTTTGTCACTTTCTTGTAAAACACCCCTAATCTTCCGCAGTTTTCCAATATTACTTGTTAGCAAAACAAACTAAAAATCTTCCCAACTCGCTATGTTGACTGAACGTTTTGCTTAAAACAATTCAATGTTTTTCCCAACCTGCTGATCTGATCAGTAGTAAATTGGAATACTTTACAGTGAGAACAAAACAAGAATTAGTAGCGAATGTTTTAGACCGGTAATCCTTTCAGAAAACTCTGGGAAGATTGTTAGTGTCTATACTCCCTCCCCCCCCCCCCCCCCACCCACACACACAAATAAATTATATTTAAAAAATAAAAATAAAAGAAATAATGAACTGAAAAAACAAAAAAGCCCCCCCCCCCAAAAAAAAACCCCCAACAAAACAACCCCCCCCCAAAAAATAAATAAATAAATAAATAAAAAATAAAATAAAATAAAATAAAATAAAATAAAATAAAATAAAATAAAATAAAATAAAATAAAATAAAATAAAATAAAATAAAATAAAATAAAATAAAATAAAATTCAAAAATCGTATATCACAGGAGGTCGTCTGCTTCGACCTTGCCTGTTACTCTTAGGGTGAGAAAAAGGCTACAATAATTATGCCAGTAAAAAGAGGGGGTGCCCATTACGGATTGGATCGGCGGATTGGCCATCCAGCTGTAATGAGCACCCGTATAAGGATGAGAAGAAGGATACAATACACAAATAGTAGGTAACTTCACTGAACATAATTTTGGTGACTTTTTTCTGACTTGGATTTTACAAATGCAATACTTCATAACTTTTTCTGTTTTATTCATCTGTGGAAAGATTTTTTTTTGTATTTTGGGTTTTGCAATAATGTATTTCACCAGTCTGGTCACAGCTCATGTGGCCCACTTGTGTTAAAATCTGATGCCACTTATTACAATTAGCAGTATGCTCACTCAATAGACTCCTATTCAGTTCAAATTTATTCTTGTTTTAACCTATCCTCTGCAATCGTGATCTGAGAAGGCATATTTCAAATAAGTGTGCTAAATCACTTTCAGTTGTGATATTGGTGTTCAACTTTTGTCTGCAAAACGATGAATTTACCAATTTCAGCTTTTCGTGCTAATCTTTTTAAAAACTGAATAGTGAAGACAAATTAACCCTCTTTTAAGATTTTCACAACAACAACCACAACAACCACAACAACAATGATAATAATAATAATAATAATAATAATAATAATAATAATAATAATAATAATAATAATAATAATAATAATAATAATAATAATAATAATAAAAATAGTGATACTAGTAAATAACATTTGTATAGCGCATGCCCAAGCTCGACAGCAAGCTCTAAGCGCTTTACACTATATTAGTACTCTAGGACACTTA